GCGTCTCGACATGGTCCGGAATAGTGACATCCGGAAGAGCCTTGGAATACAGCCTTTGCTTCTCCAGACTAAGAAGTCACAGCTGCGATGGTTTGGGCATGTGTTGCGAATGCCTCCAGGAAGGAAGGCTAAACAACTGTTCCTTGCAAATCCGACCGGCAGAAGGCCCAGTGACGGCCAAGATTAACCTGGTGGAAACATATGGAAGGAATCTGTTCCAGACTGCATTTGTCTTGTTTGCCGAAGCTCAGACTCTGGCACAGGATCGGGAACGTTGGAAGCACTGTCTGACGCGTCTGCCTCCGCGACCCGAACGGATAAGCGGTAATGGAAGATGATGTTCTCTAGATCATAATTTCGTGGATCGCTTCTCGTTGTAAACCATCGGATTCTTTTCGTACGCTTGTCAGTTTTTTTTCGTTAAACGAAGCGTGACAGGATGTCACGGATAAACGTTAGTGTGCATGTTTTGATAGGTAAGAAAACTAGTAAAACGTTTCCTCCATCCTAAAGGATAAGCAGTCATCGAAACTCTGTAACTAACTGAGGACTCCCTGAATGCACAGCTGAACTAGAGCATGTAGTGTTCAGCATTCCCTAATGCTATGAAGGAATAGGTTTCCTCCGGCTTTCAGCAAAAACATGTTTGCAGCGTATTGCAGCAGAGAAATTATTGCCTAGTGCTCATCAAAGGCTAGAGATGACAGTATACGGCTCTGAAGGATCCATGGTGATAAAAATTGGATGGATTTTTTCAACTCAGGAGGAAGACGATGCATCAGGTTATTAAATATGAGTGAATCGACTTCTGTGTAGAAATGGTGATGACTCCTTCCGGTCAAGTAGCCGAGACGAAAACTTATTTAAGGCTGCCATACACTCCTGTAGAAGAGATGCTGTTTCAACTGTCATGATGAATAATGAAATTTCTTCGACTAGAAAAATTCCCACTTTACTTAATTATGACAAATTGCTGTCTTTCGTTTGCGACGTCAAGATATCGTATTAAATAAAATGATCAATCTCGCAAAAGGCAAGAACGTTTAAAATTTATCTAGTTAATTAGTCGTTTGCGGAGACCATAAATTTTTCTGAAAATCTTCGGTAATCTCACACATTCACTGTTGCTCGAAACCTCGTGTTAGACGGTAAATTCTGTTGATATTACAGAATTGGGTATCGATAACAAGGCGTTAAATGAATTCTGATTTCCATGGTTCGTTTGATTATTATCCAGTCGGTTGACTACGGATTTGTTCATCTTCATACACGGTGTAATTTGTTTCTTGTAGCGTTCACCTTTAAACGCTTTAATTCATATTGCTTTCTGTCTAAACTGGCAATCAGAATTACTTGATGATCGTATTCTACAACTAGACTCATAATTTCTCTGCTGCAATGGGGAAATTATCTTCGGCAAACTGATTATTGCAACGTTTATGTTTGAACGAAGCTTCCTGATCACACTGAGATTCAGATCGGTTGCAGGTTCTGAATGATGGCCTGACTTTCTCTGCTTTTCCTCCCCACTGCGCTAAAAAATTAATCACTGACAAATTAATTAACTAATCAATGACCAAACACCAGAGAGGTGCGGGTTCATGTTAACGTCAATCACACAAAGTGAGGTCACGTTTCATAAACATTGTGCCAAGCGAATTATCTAGGCTTGCAGTTATTCATGGTGCGAAGAGGTAGATGACATTGTTGTACAAAACTTATTTCATTTTAC